AAGATCAGGAAGGAGGGAAACTCATGATTCACTGACAACATGGAAATTTGATGACCAATAGTAAAAGATAAAATCTGATCCCTCCAATAGAATACTAGTCCAAGATTAAGAAATCGAAAGGTGAAAGAGTTAAACGGTAACATTTTTTAAAGAAAGGCGGGGAACATTTTTATAAACCTAGGAAAAGAAAGGAATTCTTCAACAAGGTATGAATGACAAAATATCAAAGAAAGGTGGATACATTTGAGAGCATAGAGAAGGAAGTGTTCTACATCAAGAGAAAAAGTGTTTAACAGAAACAAAAGCCCAGGTTCTCTGTTGAAGACGATCTAGATGGTAATACCCTTGATCTGACCGTCAAGCACTGTATGCACACCATGTTGTACGCTATAAGATATACAATAATTAAATGCAAATAAGAAATTATTAGGAAAAGAAACTAGTATTTTTTTTCTTTTTTTGGGGGGGGGTTGGGTATGATATGAGCACAGGCTATGTGGGGGTGCCCAGACCAGGACACTGGGTATCCTCCTGATACAATATTCTCTTTCTCAAGGTAGCCACAGTTGACAACTGATGTGGGCTCAAGGGCCCCGCCTGCCTGAGGGCCTGACGGACGTGCCCCAGCTTTCCTCCTCTCAAAGAGCAGAAGAAACGGTGACGGGCTCAACGGCACAGGCCGTTCCATTCCTCTCAGCTCCAGAACCATGTTTATTCTTCTGGGAACTTTCTAGAGAGATTTTTGCTATAGGATGCATGTGCTAGCCAGGGAGACAGAGAGAGACAGAGAGACAGAAAGCGAGAAATCACCCCCCAGGGGGGATGGCCACGCCACAATCCCTTCTCCTCCATTCTCCTCTCTGGATCTTCGGTACGCGCACACATGTGCCTGGCCTATGTTTTCAGGTGCCAGATCTGGGACTCAAACCATAGTCGACTATAGGGGAGTCCAGCAATGTAACCATTACACCATCTGCTGGTCCCTCAACTCCTAATAATATTTTTTTTTGGAGAGGCTTTCACTATAGGGCACGTGCGCTCACCAGAAAGACAGAGAGAGACAGAGAGACAGAAAGCGAGAAATCACCCCCCAGGGGGGATGGCCACGCCACAATCCCTTCTCCTCCATTCTCCTCTTGGGATCTTGGGCACGCATGCACACGTGCCCGGCGTGAGTTTAAGCCGCCCAGTCCAGGACTTGAACCACGTTCAACCACGTGGGAGTCCAGCAACATAGCCATTACGTTAACTGCTGGTCCCAACTCCTAATAAATTTAAAACATGCTTTCTCTGGGAACCATCTAGGAATTTAAATTTTAGTGATCACAAAGGCATGTATTTATAAAGATATGCACTGAAACATTGCAAAATGAAAATGTGAAGACAAACTTACTCTGTTTAGGAGAGTGGAAAAATAAACTGAGCTTTATTTATATAACAGGATACTGTGCAGCAGCTACGACTACAAAAAAAAAATCACATCTCTATGATAAACATGGATAAAAATCCAAAAACATAATATTGAGGGATAAAATGTTGGCTCAAATCATTACATATAAGGCGACTCTATTTATTATACTTGAAAAGACTACGCAACAGCGTTTTTTCCGGAGACTACACGCACGCACGCGCATGCACTGTGTGCATTTATACAGGGTATAAATACAAAACTGTGCAAGAATGACGTCCACAAACCTCCTGGGGTGGAAGAGCGAGCAAAGACTGTGTGCTGGACTTTCTGTATTCATATTTTGTTTTCCTTAAAGAGAGATCTGAGAGCAACAGTCAAAAGTTAACATTCGCTTCATCTCAGAGATAGATAAATTGGTATCTGTTACATTGCTTTTTGTTTGAAATGTTTCCTAATGTGACTTCCTTTCTTTTATTATTTTAAAAATGAAATCAGGTGAGAAAGTAACTTCCTTAAAGTATGACTGTTTTCAGCTTCTGATATTTGTTTCTCATATTTCTGTCCTGTCTGGAATTTGAAGCCAAAAAAAAAAAAAGACGGATGCAGCGTAATATCAATATCTTTGTTTAAATGTTTACTAATTTGTTTGTTTGTTTGTTTGTTTTTAGACTTTTGTCATAGGCATGTGCACTCACTGGAATAGAAGAGACACAGAGAGAGAGGCGAAGTGAGATGTCACTCTCCAAGGAGGAATGGCTATGGCACAAACCTTTCTCCTCCATTCTCCCCCTGGGGGAATGCCAGGCACCTGGTGTGATTTTCAAGCCACCAGATCAGGGACTGGAACTGTGGTCAGCCATGTTGGAGTCTAGCACTTTAAGCAGAGATCAAAGGAGCTCTCTACAAATCTATTACCTAAGGTGACACTGAAGTGACTCTCCGCTGTGTCAGGTGGGTGAGCTGGGCTTGGAAACAGGCCTGGGACCAGCTATGAAACCTGGGTAGTGCTGAGAAGCCAGGCCTGGAACTGAGTGTCTGAGCAAAGCTGTGAGGTATTTCATTCTGGGTGCTGCAGTACAAATGGTGTGGGCGGACAGTTCCTCCCTGTCTACACTCGGCATGCAGGGTCAGCACCACTGCTGGCGGCCTGCTTTGAGAAACGGTAAAGTAAAACTGGGGTATTTGGAGCAAACTAGATCCGTAACTAGTGTAGCACGATGATTATTAATGCGATGGCCCAGAAGTTAAATTTAGCTCTGATTTCCACATGTTTGGCACACACACAGTTTTTTTTGCAATGTCTGAATTAGTTGCTAGTATTCAGAGCTTGGGAAGTTTGTAATAGAAACTGGACTCCTAACTTCTCTCCTGAAATAATTCTGGCCTGACTGGGCCTGCATTCTAGCATAGCAACAAGTGGTTGGCCCAAAAGTTTGCCCCCTATTCTACCACCTAACTCACCACCTTGCCTTCTGGCCCAGTACTGATGTCAAACTTCCCCATTTTACAGATGAGAAAAACCGAGGCTCAGAGCGTCGACCACTGTGTCAGAGTTATTTTATGGAAGGAGTCATGTGATCGGCCCAACAATCAGTTTATTTGTTATTTCTTTTCACTACAAGACGAGGGCTCATTTTATGCTTTTAATGGCCTATTTTTCCGCCTAATCCAGCAGGCATAATGAAAATAATATTCTTAAAGCAAAAACTTCAAATGATGATTAAAAACAAAACAAATGGATTAATTTTAATATCAGCAAGAACTCACTCACATTTGTCCAAACTCAGAAGCTTACTTGGGACTGTTCCTCTGGCCTCATGCCAAAATGGACTTCCTTTAGCTTTTTGTTGTTGTTGTTATTATTATTATTATTATTATTCTTTTGGATTTATTTGTTCATGGTTAAACTGGAAGATAATCTACATGGAGTTGGATTAATTTTATCCATCATGCCCTTTAATATTTAGTTACCATGGCTATGCAAAGTGCCTTTTTGCTAGAGCCAGCCAAATAAAGAGATTACATAGATTACACAAATCCTTTATAATGTGAAACACTAAATAACTTAATAACTTAAATATAAATTGCTAGGAGAATGATTCAGTTAACTTAGGCACATTGTGAAAAACTATGCAAACGTGCAAAAAAGAAAAAGAGGCAGATAGAAATATTGACAGCCAGGAATTTAGGTTACAAAAGGATATATAAACATGGCGTCAGTAAGGTTAAAAAACCCAGACATAAACATAGTTTGTAGGTCCACATGTAAGTGTATATAAACCACATAGAAAACATCGGGAAAAATACATGGAAGTGGTGAGAGTAGGTACCTGTGGAAAGATGGGAATAGGGAGACACATGAGGTGGTCAAAGAGGGGTTTTAGATTCCTCTATGATGTCCTAAACTATCATTTAAATAGAAAAAAGTGGGTTACTTGTAGCCATAGGTTCTGCAACTCTTTTTATATAACATACCTATTTCTGTGACTTAATTTCCAATCCTAAGGCCAACTCTGAAATTTACAAAGTATCTGCTCATCCTTCCAAATGAAACTTACTAAACCTGTATTATCATCCAAATTAATTTTTAAGTTTAAAAATAATGCAAAGCATTTGAAAAATTAAATGTCACTTTTCACGAGTTAAAATCAAGTAGGTCAGCATAATATTAATAGTTTTGGGAACACTCCATTTATTTTCTAAGGCAAAGAATAAGAAATAGATGGATTTAAAGGAATCCGGGATCACTCATATTCCAAGTGGGAATCAAAGTGACAGGCCGTTGAACTTATCCTGACATGAGGTCTATGTATTTCTAAGGTGCTATTAAGTGTTCCCAGACGGGTTTGCTTTCCCCATCAATACCAAAGGGACATTGAAGGGTAAGTTTGACAAGGAGGAAACCGAGTCCTGTAGAGGTCAGAGTTCAGCGTGAGGTCTTAACTAGGAAGTGGCCTGCTGGGACTCCCCGCAGGTCTCTGCAGCCCCGGCCGCCTGCTCGGATTCACCAGCGTGACACCGCGCACCCGCGTATCCGGCGTTCTCACATATCCTCGCTGGCGATGATCTATTTACCATTTACTGCTAGAGGTCCCCTCCAACAGCCCACCCCTGACTCTGGGAGAACTGGCCGAGCCTCCTGCTCGCCTCTTTCTCCCTGCAGCCCCCCGCGCTTTCCACCTGTTCCGGACATTCCCGCTCTCTCCCTCCCGCACGCTGCAGCTCCTGGGACCTGCGTGGAGCCGGAGGCTTAGGGACGGCGCCCCGGCGGGAGGGGCCCGCCTGTCTGA